CTGTCGACTCAACTACTCTGTCAGTCCCTCTTCTTGTGTGTGTGTGCGTGCGTGCGTGCGTGCGTGCGTGCGTGCGTGCGTGCGTGCGTGCGTGCGTGCGATGAGGGTATGGCGGCCTCTCTTTGTTGTCCATGGTAAGAGGATCCTGGCTAGTGAAACAATACATAGCCATTCAAACGGAGATGAACAGACACACTGAGCCGATCTTAGCCGGGCCAGGACACAGCAGACAGAGGGGGGGGTCTGAATACCCCCTCTGTGGGAGAAGGAAGGAGGCAAGCCTTTCAGCAACCGGCCAGTCAATAGCTTTCAGTATGTGTTTGTGTGTTACATTACATTTAGCCAACGCTTTTATCCAAAGCAACTTACAATAAGTGCATTCGACCAACAAGATACAAACTTGAAGAAAACAGAATCATATAAGTACATCAGTTTTCATAGAGCTAAAACATTTCAAGTGCTACTCAACTGGCTTTCTAGTTTTCAGTCTGCGCCGGAAGATGTGCAAGCTTTCTGCTGTCCTGATGTCAATGGGGAGCTCATTCCACCATTTTGGAGCCAGGATAGCAAACCCACGTGTTTTTGCTGATGGGAACTTGGGTGTGTGTGGGCACGTTTCATTATGAGGCAGGTTCAAAGGTTCTCTTGGAGAGTTTAGGGGGATGATATGGCTGAGGGGGACCAATGGAGATGAAAGTGGGATAGGTAGATTGTAACAGATCATTTTTACCTATGAGTAAACTCTCCCTCTGCAGAGGTAATCCACACCTGCATTAATAATTGAGGAATGCCTGTGTGTGTGTGTGTGTGTGTGTGTGTGTGTGTGTGTGGTGTGTGTGTGTGTGTGTGTGTGTGTGTGTGTGTGTGTGTGTGTGTGTGTGTGTGTGTGTGTGTGAGAGAACGAGAGAGAGGAACTTTTGTTTATCTTGACTGTGCAGTAAATATCTGCACCCTGTATATATTTCTGCTTTGAAAGTCAGCTAAATTATTTCTTTAGTTGGCAATTTACCAGATCTGAACTAGGGGGGGAGGATTTACTGCTTATAATTACCACTCTCAAGCTGTATCTTGACATCTTTATCAGTAATAGTTTCCTGAAACACACACCACCGACAGCCACACACACACACACGCCTGCTCCACTATCCTAATATTCCTCTCACTCTCCCACCTGAGAAGGGCAGCGTCTGTCACTCATGCCAATGAGATTTCTGGGTATTTAACAGTCTACGAGTCAATCCTCTTCAGCGTCAAAATTGATGTCATCTGAAATTGAGCCAAAAAAGACCATTTACATATTCATGGTGAAACGGAACGATGCTGACAAGTTCTGATGAAGGTCACCTTCAAGAAAAGCCGCAGCTGATTTCAGCTGATCAGAGTCAAGTGCTGTCCATGCAGACAGAGGGAGGCAAAAGCAGAACTGCTAACAGAAATCCAATACAAAGCCAGACAAAAGATGGATGTTTTAAAGTTTTTTAAGCTGTATTAGTTTGAAAATATTTGCTCCCTCCCCAGGGAAATAGTAAGGAGAATGTGGTACTAATTATGTTATGGCCATGACATCCTCAATTATAACTAATACATTAAATACATTTTTATTTCCATCCTTCGTCTTTTGTCTTTAATCCGCTTTAAGCCAATGCGCCCCTTACCTTTCCACTCACAACGGACCTCTTTGAATATGTGCTTCTTTTGCGTGCTGTTATACTATCACGACTTAATCCCCATGTGAAACCGTTTCCTTTTATTAGAAAATGCTATTTTGACAGTTTTATTTCGTAGCAAGAACTAGATGCACGTATCCATCTGTTTCACCTGGGACCAAGTCAGACTTTGTTGTCATAGAAGTAGATGCTGAATATGATCAAGGGAATGTGGCACAAAACCCCAGTACACACACACTCTTTCTTAGTGTGTGTGTGTGTGTGTGTGTGTGTGTGTGTGTGTGTGTGTGTGTGTGTGTGTGTGTGTGTGTGTGTGTGTGTGTGTGTGTGTGTGTGTGTGTGTGTGTGGTGTGTGTGTGTGTGTTGTGTGTGTGTGTGTGTGTGTGTGTGTGTGTGTGTGTGTGTGTGTGTGTGTGTGTGTGTGTGTGTGTGTGTATTCGTGTACAGTAGTGCCTGGTGTTGACAACTATTGATCATTCTTGTTTGAAATTGTTGAGCGGCAGAATATTTAAACAGACTTTCTTTGTAAATAAATTAAAGGAAATTACTTAAAGGGTAGAAAGTATAGGAGGCCATATTCCGTTTTATGAGCTGTCGAGTCAATATTTATGTCAAATGTGGCAACCAATCTACATTTTGCCAGGTGGGGAAGATATTTATATATATTATTTTAATGAAATTTACATTTTGTCAGGCAGACTCATTCAAAAAAGATATCTAAAGTACGCGTTATATATAAAGACAGGAGCACAAAAAACATTTACACAAACACAAAATGGAATTACAGAAACAACACAACCACACAATAACAGGGAATTACAAAAATCTAGAAAAAACTTCAAAGGTCTAGTACCTGAAAACAGTTGTATTAGTGAATCTTTCAGGAATAAGTAGTTACTGGATCTAAATTAAAGGAAAAAATGTGAGGTCTTCTGAAGTACCAACAGAAGAGCTTTATTAATCTAGAAGCTATTTGTTCTCTCTTAGACTTTTGCTTTGTGTAATGCACAGGGTTTAACAGAGCATCCAGTGGATAGCCCAACATTGAATATCTCAGTCAAGGACAGACATAAATGTCAACTTTAGTGTATCATACACTCTTTAATTATATTCAACCGCAAAGTTGAATGTTTGTACGTTTTTTTTAGATATATCTTGAATGACTATCGAAGAAAATTCTTTAGTAATTGTATGACTCAGCAAGAGTAATAGGAGTTATTTAAAGTCAACAAAGTCAGCGTCACTGGTGAAGGTGGAGAAAACCATATTATTGGTCTTTTCTGAAATAAGAGTCTACTGAGTGTCTACAAACAAATTCAATTCAACAATGTTTACAGTGTGTAATTTTGTAACCGGCTGCCACTAACAAAATGTCTAGTATTCATCTGCTGTTTTTTTTTCCACAGACAGGAAAATGGTGACGGTTTCTGCTTGTGAATGTGATACCAGGTAAAGTCGAAATTAAACGTTGACATTCTGGGGTTGTCTTACTCTAGCTCTGACTCACTACACTAAATGTGAGAGAGCCAGCGCTTTAAGGTTCAGATGAGACAAATGAGAAACAGCTTCAGCTGAGAGACGGACAGCGTAGCAAGACAGGGGAATAGCTTTTATCGAGCGTGACACCAAGAAATGGGATCTGGGTTTGTGGGTATTGGAGTGGTAATTGATTCAAGGATCCAGATCTGCTCAGAGGAACATTGTTGTATGGGAGCTGATATGCAGTGTGATAGCTTAAATACCCATTTAAAGGGAGCGAGTCTTAGCTCTCTGAAGAGTCACTTCTCAGATGGACGTGGCTAATAGCTTGCCACGATCATTCAGAGTCAAAACTGTAATTAGACACTTTGTATTGCTATACTTGTTAAATCCTTTACAGCTCTTCCCTGCTTCCTCAGCAATTGAATTCGATGTGATTAAAGCAATCTGGCACTGGAAACGGTAACAAGGATGAGGAGCAGCACTGTACTGCACTGAGCCTCATTATGAAGTAGAGAAATTCTAAAAGAGAAATCGTACCACTTTTTAACCGCTCCTGATTAGCATGTATAAGCAATTAAAAAAAAGTAAAGATAAGGAGGAGTGACCCCTAAGCATAATGCGTCAGCTTAAGAAGGCCATGAGATGCTGCTGAGAGCACAAGGGAAATCTAGTTAGCCATACTTCTGTTTCCAAAGTCAACCATCAACTTTTAACTCAAGTCTCAGCCACATTATAAATGTAAACAAGCTTTTGAATTATATGTGCATTTGCATGAAAAGTTCATTCATATGTTGTACACTGTAAGTGTGTGTTCTTAATTCATTCATAATTTTGTATACAACATATGGATGCTGTACATAGGAACGGTCATAAAAACACTTAAAGATAGCATTATTCCTACTTAAAAATACAAAACTGTATGCGCTAAAATATTGTTATAAATGCTAGAATATGGCTTCTGATAAACGAAGGGTTCCGTTTCGAAATTCCTAAACACCAACAGTGATTCTTGAAGCACTGGCTCTCAAACACTCAAATGTATTACACTGAACGCACGTTTTCTGCTTTACACTTTGTTGTACATAAAATAAAACACAAGAAAACACTTCTAGCTAAACTGTAAACATTGATTTCTACATCACATACTGCCTTTCCATATTTACAAAGATGAAAATACTTTTAGATAATGAGTTCATTCACCAATTCAACCCTTTGGTATGGACAACAATGGCGGCCAAAATTGGACAGAACATGGGGGTGGAGATAGAGATGAGGACAAGGAAAAACAGGTTTACTGTAAATCAGTGCAAACTTAACAAATGATCAAATATTACATTTGTAAAATGATAATTGGTCAAACTGTGGCACTCCTAAGGTTTCCTAACAATAGTATCTATTCTGACTCCTCTCCTGTTTGAGTAACTTAATGTTAACAAACAGATGTGTGAATCAAATGTATATCAGATGACTAAACGTCATTGCAAGGTGCTTTGCCCTGCACAGAGAAAAAGCTGATGTGGTTCTCATTAATACTATTAGTGTGTAGTCGGTGCTTTATTTGCTTTTTGAATGATGATTTTTTTATTTTTTTATTTACAAATATTTTAAAGAGTTTTGCAAGAACACTTCTCCTTTGCAATATCTGTTTAATGTTTTGTTGGTTTGGTGTTGAGTTTTTCAAAAAGAAACCTAGTTTCAAAGGGCACCTAAGTGATCAGAAAATAAAATATAGTGTTACCAATGTTGACAAAGGAAATGATACTGTAAATAAAAAGGCTTATAATACATACTGTATCCCTCGCTCCTTTGAGGTGTTTCAAGGTGAAGTGTTTGTACATTATCACTTCTTACCTTTATCAGATCCTGAAGGCACCAAGGACGAAGCAGAGGAAGCCACGTGGACCAGCAGCTGATCAAGATCAACTCTGGAAGGGCAAAACATTCATTAAGTCAGCTCACACATTTTGCATCCATTACTTTTAGTTCAGCCAAAGTCATTAGTAGTGATCTGCTCACATACTGTAACTGAGCAAAGCACTGAAGCTGCTAATTAAAGGCTTAACAATCTTGTTTATATCTTCTGCTGTGAAATATATTCTGTTTGCATTTTATCAGTGGTTGACATCAGTTTGTCCTGCGAGCTGAAAACAAATTAAACAATTTAAATGTTGTTTACCACAGTTATTTGCATGTGGGGAAAAAGTGTCTCTGTTTCTAATGTCTGTTGTATGGAAACCTCAGTAATAATTTATCAAATGCACACGGTGCTCAGAGTCACTCTTTTTAATCAATCACAAGAACCTCAGGAGGAGTATGGAGCAGCTTAGTGAGTTGCCTATGTCTGTTCCAATTACAAATGATGACAATGCAAAATTCAAATTGGAAAATGAAAATATTACCATTTACTTTCGACAGCAGCATTCCCATGAATATGGAAATGTGGACGTGAGGAACTGGTATTTGTGATTATACACTTGCGGCAGATGATAATAAATTCAGACAGCGTTGTTTACAATCGAAGCCGAGGGATGTTTTGTCCCTGAGGACAAGCTGAGTGGAAGCAGATCTCAAGGTGAGCTGAGCAGTAGATGGAGGAGCTCAGACCGTGAATCTTAACATCTGTAAACATTTTTGGCATTTATCTCATGTAACGCTTATCTAAATATGTTCAGCTAAGCTCTTAGCAAACATCAGCTATCTCATAGCCCAACAAATGCCACAGAAACATTTTGAGTGTGTGTGAGATCTTACTCCGTGCAGGCCGTTCCTCTCGAGTCATCTGTGTGTCTCTCAGGCCCGTTTGTCTGCACGATGAGAGCAGGGGTGAGGCAGGAGTCAGCCTGAAACAGAATAAGAGCTTTGCAGAGTGGCAGCAGATGACAGCCCGAGGGTAGTGGGAGGAGAGTAGCTGGCTTAGGGTCCACCCAGACCTCCTTTCTTTATAATATTACCAGACAATTGTGGAAGAAATGCTCACGAGGGCAGGTTGCTCTTACCACCAGTAGTCCATCATAAGAAAGCAGAGACCACACAGGGACACGTCAACTGGATCGCAGCTGGTGTATTCGATGATGGCGACATTTATCTGAAAAAAAACAGCAACTCATCTTTACTGCAACTTCTGATCATTATTGTGTGCACAGGTGACATGTAGTTGAAGAGAACATTTGCCCATGTTTAGTACAACGAGAACTTCGATGTGAGAGCCTAGAATGTCGACAACAGTGAACATTACCCCAGCAGGTCCTCAAACATTTATGAGTTCTTCAGCTCATGTTGCTCCACAGAGGCCTGTTAGATTTCATTGCTTAATTCTGTGCTCTGTTCCAGACTCTATTGTGCCAATGAACCTCCATTTATTTGGCAGGATGTTTTCTATCACTGCTCCCTCAGCTCACAAGCCAGAATAACAATGACTTTTCATCATCGAAAGGACTGCTTGATACCATGTAGCAGATTGTTGCAAAACACTACTGCCTTAAGGAACTGTCTTCATAGTATATTGATGGTAATCCTGCTTTAAAAGCTACATTAAATTGTGTTCACAGGTTTTTTTAAACTGCATACATACAGTATGTGTAATAGCTTTTATTCATCACAATGAAGTGCAGTTTGTGTGTGCAGTCTGAAAACTGCTGGATATGAACAACCGATTGTTGCCCTTATTCATCTTGTCCCAGGAGCAACTTCAAAGATGTTGTGGTGTATGCTGCTCAAAATGCATTTTCATGATGACAAGATAATAGCAGACATGCTAATTTAAAAACGTTCTGCTGTCAGGGCAGAGCTAAATCAAAGTATTAAGGACTGTCCATGGTACTGATGGTATTATCCACCAATTTATTCTTCTGCCTCTATCTCCTCCCTCTCCTTTTCTATAACCTGCATCTATATATCTGTCTTATCTTATCTTCTTTTTCTACAGTAAGCCTTTCACTAGTCCTACGTAAACCTTGTCTGTTACCTTATCAGACAAGTCATTTCCAAATTAACACAAAGGGTGAGAGGGCATACAATTTGATTTTCAACAAGAGGAGTAATGAGAAGTGGCAGATCTGTAAAGGCTTGCATGAGGAAACATGAAGACCTGAAAGATTAGAAATGTCAAAAAGCTAAACTGCAATTGTCCATGTGCTACAGCCTGCAGATGCATATCAACACTCAATGGGCCTATTACTGCACAAAGTATCATGGAGCACAGCCTGGGAGATCAGATTGAACAGATTGTCTGTGGACTGTTAAGACCAGTACATGCACAATGTGGAGGGGAACTGTGATCCAATGGCACCCACTAGTGCTCGAAAGGTTTACCTGCACTTATTGGAAAAGATGTACACAGACTAATGGTCCAAAAACACTGCGACAGTACCCTTCACAGTTTCACTCACAGGTTCAGACTGTTAATAGTGTGTGAAATAAAGAAAACGTCAAGATAAAGACGAGAACATTTACCCATTTTTGCTTGTTTACTTTTGACTCACATAATAAGTATTACGTACATCGTCTCTTGTAAAGTCAAAAAACCTGACAACATGTGCAGAAATGTGTGAGCATGATTTGCTATTCCTAAAGAAGGGAGAAGGGGGGGGAGATGATGAGGTGGGGAGAAAGAGAGACTGTCCCTGCAGGTGTGAGGCTGTTTCCTTCTCTCCTCGTTTCTGTATTGAGGGATGAGCATGGATGGTGCGATTTATTTTCTCCATCAGCTCTACTGAGTTGTATTGTACCACACCTCAATCCAACTGCCTGAAGCAGATGCATTGTAAGCAAATGCACACACTTCTAAGTACACACACACACACATACCATGTATACATCACTTCAGGGGACATTACATTGACTTACATGCATTTCCTGGAGACTTATCCTAACCTTAACCATAACCAACACATGCCTAACCCTAACCCTTACCAAGTCTTCACCCTAAATATAATGATTCCCCTCATGGGGACCTCCAATTTGTCCCCATAAGGGAGGCGAGTCCCCACACGTGACTGTGTAAACAGATTTAGGTCCCCACAAGTATAGTAATGCTAGGACACACACACACTGCCTCTCTGTCAAGGGACATTGGAAGCGTTGGAAGCTTCAACGCTTCTGCCCATTCACTTTGAATGGGGTGACGTCACTTTTAGCCGAACTGCATTTTGGGAAGCGACGTGGAGCGTTGCTGGCGTTGCTCGCTTCAAAAGTTGAGCAATGTTCAACTTTTGGCGCCTCGGCAGAAGTGTCAGCCAATGAAATCCCGTTTATGCAAATCTGCCAGTACAAGCGCTAGCCAATCAAACCGCGTGTATGCTGGGAGAGACTACGCAGGTCATTTCCTCATATTCCAAAAAATGGAGGGAAAATTCATTATAGCGGTAGTGAATCACCCGGTGCTGTATGATCAGTCTCTGTTCATCTACCGCAGTGCTTCTCAAAGTGTGGTAAAGACATAAAGACAGATAACAGGCTCATCACAGACAAACTGGATGTGGCCAAGTACTTGAACATTTGTTTCACAAACATAGCCACAACTCTTGTAAATAAATTACCCTCCCACTCAGGGCTTTTTGGAGTAGATCACATCATGACCTACTACAAAAACCTAGGGGTACGCAAAGATGATTTCAGTCTAGCAAGGGTAACAACAGCAGAGGTACTCATTAAACTGAGCGCCCTCCAACCTAACAAGGCCACTGGCCACGACAATATCCCCTCCAAATTCCTCAGAGACACAGCAACCGCCATCTCACCAGTCATAGCTCACATAATTAACCTCTCCATAAAACAGGGAAAAGTACCCAAAGACTTCAAAATTGCAAGAGTAACCCCCCTGCACAAAAAGGGCAGCAAATTGGACCCAGGCAACTACCGCCCTGTTTCTATACTTACCTCCATCTCGAAAGTCATGGAAAAAATAGTATATGAACAGGTCGAAAAGTACCTCGCGGAAAAGAAACTAATCTATGAATTTCAATCTGGCTTTAGAACATCCCACTCCACTGACACATGCCTTCTTTATTTGAGCGACCACATCAAACAAGAGGTGGACGAGGGCAAGTACTGCGGCATGGTGATGCTGGACCTACAAAAGGCTTTCGACACTGTCAATCACCCCATTCTGATTGACAAGCTAAAAGCAATTGGTTTTGATAAACTATCGGTGAGCTGGATGCAATCCTACCTGGAGGGGAGAGAACAGATGGTGGAGGTAAACGGTACTCTGTCCCCCCCCCCCTCCCAGTGAGCTGTGGTGTTCCACAAGGAAGCATATTAGGTCCGTTACTGTTCCTAATTTATGTAAATGACATGTCATCAGCATGTGACTGCAACTTGTTCCTGTTCGCGGACGACTCAGCCCTGCTGGTCTCTGACAGGAACAGGTTGCAGGTTGAAAAAACCCTCAGCTCCGAGCTCGGCAGAATCTGCACCTGGCTCGCCGATAATAAATTATCATTACACCTGGGTAAAACAGAGTCCATTCTCTTCGGTTCGAAACATAATCTCAGCAAATCCGACGACTTCTCAGTTGCAGTGGGCGACATTATTGTCACAAGTAAGAAGGAAATTACATACCTAGGATCTATTCTTGAGGCAAACCTCTCCTGTGACAAAATGGCATCCAATGTAATAAAAAAAGTCAATCAAAGAACTAGATTCCTATACCGGATCTCCTCTCTGGTAAACAAAAACACCCTGAAAACTCTGGCAGGAGCACTCATTCAAGGGTACTATGACTATGCTTGCACGTCATGGTACCATAGCACCTCCAAGGCGCTACAAATAAAACTTCAAACATCGCAAAATAAACTGGTCAGACTACTGCTTGACCTTTCATCTAGAACCCACCTCACCTCTGCCCACTTTGACAACCTAGGATGGCTTAGAGTAGACGACAGAGTACAGCTACTTACAATGGGCCTGGTCTACAAGATCCACTACACCTCTATGGTACCCATGTACATGTCAAAATTCTTCCCAAAGGTCAAGGAATACCATGATCATAACACCAGAGGGAGCTCCACAAATCATGTGAAACCCAGATTTGGCACAAAAAAGGGGGAATACACGTTTCGCAATTATACCACATCAAGGTGGAACGCTCTTCCCACAACTGTAAAGGAAAGTAAAACTATACTTACCTTCAAAACCTCTCTTAAAGAGCACCTTCGGGGGAGAGCATTGCAAAACTGGCCCCGGTAATGGTACAAATCTCAACCTGTCGTTCAATGGACAGCTTCCCCCCCCCCCCCATCTATGTATATACTCGCATTTTAGACTCTGTTACTAACTGTATATCTGTAGACTTGGTATGTCTTAAATGTCCGGTTAGGATGTATTAGAACGAAATCTAAAATGAAAATTGTAAACAAGCAATCTGTATGTAAAAAAACCACCTGTATGTAAATTGTAAATAAGCCATCTGTATGTCAAATATGTCTTATATGTCTTAAATGATATGATGAATTGGAAATGGGAGACCCTGATGTAAACAAGACGAAAGTCTTTCTCTGGTCTGCATCCCCTTAACAATTGTATGTTTTGAGCTGTACTGTACTGTACCCAATATACAAGCTGTTAATAAACTTTTCAATCAATCAATCAATGGTCCGCGGACCACTGGTGGTCCGTGAGCGCCCCTTAGTGGTCCGTGAGTATATTGGTAACATTTCACATTTGAAATAAATTAATTAATTGTTGTTTTCCGCACTCTCCCGGGAATATCTCCGCAATGGAGCGAGTTTAAGTTTCACTTTCGATTGCATGATATAGCCCCGCGCAACACCTTCATCACACATGTTGCCAAGTGCACTTGTTTGTACCATTTTCAGGCAATTTGTAATCTGTTCTAGAAAAACGATGTGATTGTTGATATTTGTGGTGTTAGGTGGTCCGCGAGTGTGTTTTTATTGGTTAAGTGGTCCTTGGTATGAAAAAGTTTGAGAAACACTGCCGGGATACAAACCGGAGGAGCGAGGCATGGAGGGAGGTGGCAGAGACAGTGGGTGAAACTGGTAGGTTTTCACCTGTTTGGGGATTTGATATCCAGTTTACTTCGTTTTAACATTGCTATTGCTTTGTATGTCGGTGGCGGGAGAT